TGCAACACTTTCACTCGAAATGGAAGTAAGCTTAACAATTATGAAACAAGAGATTGCTCGGAACACAAGTTTTCTTCTCGTCGGCTTTTTCTGTCGTAAGCTAGATACACTAAATTGAGGAAAATGCTGCATTTTTATGTCATCTACCCCACAAATTTACTCCCCAACTCGGACTCAATTCATGTAAAACAGTTATTTTAACTAATTTTCCAAATCCATTCGGCCTCAGCAGAATTTGCCCTCGCACCATAGGTTTGCTTTGGCAGCTGATAGTGAAAAATTTAAGAAGCAGGTTATGAAAAAATAAGCAGGTATTACGATTATGAATACATCTGATATTGTGTATGACCTGCCCCGTCCTGTAAATATAATTGACCTCGTAACTAAATGGCGTTTTTCATTTTGACATAAATTGTATAACGTGTTTGCATCAAGTCTGCCGTTGCCATCGGTACTAGAGAGACTGTGAGATTTTATTGCAAAAAAATGGTGATTAAAAAAATGATTTTTATTCGAAATTAGCAATTCATGCTTCACAACGAACATTTGCCAACGGCCAGTTTTAGCCTGCGATGCATCACAAAATGGTCTCTAGCCATTTGATTAGAATGTTGTCATTGGTGACTACAAGTAATGCTTCATTATGCAATCATAATAAATCAATTTAATCCATGACATGAGGATAACTTACGTCCGGGATACGTGGAATATGTGAACGGCGGGTCACTATAAGGCCCAGCTAAGACCATAGTGCTCGTTTCAATCTGCTCTATCTTTGCCAGTACTTTGATTTTATATTCCGTGTTTGGCAGTAGGTTGGTGAAATTGCACAATAAAGAGGTGGCCTTTATTGTTCTCGTGGCGACCACAATGTCGGGAGTTGTCGTAGAGATGACGGCCTCGTAGCTGGTGACAACTTTGCCGCCTTCCTTGGGAGGTTGCCATTGAATGACTATGAATTTGGCGTCCACTTCAAAGATCTGTAAATCGCTTGGTGGTCCTGGGACTGATCAAATGATGAGAAAGCAAGAAGCAGAGTATGAGCTTGTAAAATGGCAGCTTTGGCCTCGTGAAAAGTAAATTCGCAAACGATGTGATGGCCAGGCGCCGAAAAAGGAGAAAAAGTGGCTTAATGCGAGCCCAGCATACCTCACGGTTCTGTAGATAATCCGCCTCAGAGACAAGCCTGCACGTAATGAAGGATGTGCTGAGCAACTTTAGGGCTCGGCATTGCCCAGTTTCATCTGCGCCCAAAATGGACTTACGCGAGATGCCTCGAGGTTGCTGGCTATTAAAGAGGTGTACCAGTTTATGTTGCCAGCGATTCTGTCCATGAGGAATTGAGACAAGGGTTCATTCTCGCCAACAGCCCTGGCGGGACTCGAACTGACGAATTACGGATCAAGAGTCAGACAAGCAAAGTAAGCCAAATATCAACTCATCATTTTTGGGCCCTTCTTACTAAAGACAACCTTGCGTTTGTCGGCAAACTTGAGACGCTACTGAATTCGCCATCAGTAGACGTTTAGTTTCACTGTCTCCAGGAAATTTGCCAGTTTTGATGGGATAGCAAAATTATTTAATTTTTTCGTTCCAGAAATAGTTTCTTTCTGCGAGACTGCCAGTAGATCTGATATAAGATTTGTATTCACTCTACTTTGTTTAGGGTGATGAAGGACCGTTAGATGAACATCTCCACAATATTATAAGTAGGAGGAAAATTAATAATAAATATGGTCATAACAGATCTTATATTATTCAATTTTTTTGGGAAAAGCGTAGCTCAACGTAATCGAGGGAGCCCATTTCTGGGGGCATTCACCAATTCGCTTTTTGGCCATCTATGCAATTGCTGTTGAATATTTTGCAAAAGTGGAGCGGATTAACTGTTTTCATAGGCAATTCCTACATGATTCTTATTACATTTCTGCTCGCATGGCAAGTAGATATGATATAAAGTCTGTGATTTGAAGGGAATTAAATTACAAGTTCTTCATTATCTTCAACGAAATATGGTGGATACAACTGTAAAATTCATTTAATGTCCTGTCCCAGCATTAAGCTGCGCACGTTAGGAATTTTATAATTACAACCTCATTTAGTTCGATACAGTCAACAGGAAAAACCCATTTAAACAAGGCTTTATGAGTGTCATAACAATCAAGCAAACCTTTTAGAATATTCAAAAATTAATAAAAATATGCAAGTGGGTTGACCTCGTTTTCGCAACTTGCTATTTGTTGTCAGGATGACTTAGTAGAACGCACATAGTCCGAAGTCGTTTGCCATAGTAGTTGTCATGATTCCCAGCATCAGACAGTGGATTTGGTACATTCTGAAACGTTTCGTCGGCATCATTGTCGGCAGCATCAGT